CAAGTTTGCTTGAACAGAATTTTTTTTACAAAGCTATTAATAAATTTTGTTAGTAAGAAAGTTAAAAATTTGATGTAGAATCAGTTATATAAGATGATCTGGAAGTCGATTGTGAATGTGAGATGTTGATCAATGAAATTATAAATATTTTACTAAATTTGTTCACTTTTGTAATTTTTATTCTTGATTCAAGATACTCAACTAATCTTCCTATTAATGATAAAATATCAAAAAAAAAAATAGTACTTATTTATGTGATTTGATAGCAAATTGTTGGCAAAAACCGAATAGATTTGTACATAGTTTAACAGATTAGCAACTGAAATCGAGTGTATTTGATAGATTCTGCTCAATTTCTGTAGCAAATGTATTGTCAAATTATATTGACAGAATGTAAACTCACTTATTGCAGACACAGATTGTACTGAGCTGTTGCATTTTTCTCATCGAATTTGTTGCTAATTTGTTAGCATTCTGTGGACAGTTTGCTTACTGGCCAGATATATTAAGAATATGTTAAAAAATAGGTATCCCGATTGACATCATACACTACTGTTTCCGGCTGTAAGCTCTATCAAAATCAACAGAATCAAGGATTCATGCCCGTACAAAATTCTCACAAGACACTAAAATGTGTGGAATGTGGTGCAGTATTTATGAATTATCAGGAGCTATGTGCCCATAACCGACTCCATTTGCCATTTATTCAGGACAACATACCTATGCAACATATGCACATAGTGGAGTCTCAGAATCCATATCTTAATTTTACTCATGTTAGTTCAAATTTTGCAAACGATAACATTCCAAGTACACAATTATCTCCATTAATTAGACCAAATATGATGCATACTATGTCATTGAACGAAGAAAGTTCAAGTCGAGCTGCTTGTGCCTTACATTGTTCCTTGTGCAATCACACTTTTACTAATAGAAGACAGTTAATAAGTCATAATATAACGCACAGTACGGAGAGTGTCGATATGTCGTGCGACAATGAAAACATAGAAATTTGTGAGAATTCTAATCATATCCCACAAAATTTAAGTTACGAAAGATCAATTCATTCGGTGGATAATCCTATTCAAAACTTGTCATATCAGCGATCCACCGTGGATGGTACCGATGGAATACAGAATATAAACTTTCCGGAAAATATAGATCTTGATGGAGTCCAGGAAAGCAGTTCGGAACGTATGCAAAATGTAACGATACATTCTGAAAACAATGTGTCGATTGCCGAAAACTTGAGGTTTATAAAATCGTCTGGAAAAGACAGGCAACTCGCGATTGAATATCACGGATGTCAGAGTGATGATAATTATAAAGAATCTCTCGACATAAAAACTACAGAAGATGTTAATGCTAAGAAGCATCAGTGTGAAATATGCTCGAGACAATTTTCACAAAAATCTAAATTATTTGCTCATCAGCTATCTCATTCTGGTCAGCAACCATTTAAATGTTTAAGTTGCGGCAAAGGATACGCATCGAAAAGCAAACTCAGTGCACATATGAGATTACATACCAAAATCAATGTACATCAATGTAAAGTGTGCGATAAAATATTTTCATATCCATCATATTTGGAGGAACATATAAAGGTCCATAATAAAAGTAATAATACATCGCAAAGCAAGGATTATGAATGTACGACTTGTAACAAACGTTTTCGGCTTTTAAAAAATTTGAAAGCTCACGAAAGACTCCATACCGGAAAAGGTTTGGTGCAATGCGAAATTTGTGATAAAAAATTTAGTCATAATTATAATCTGAAAATGCACTTGCGAACACACAAAACATCAAGAGTACATAAATGTGAGTATTGCGATAAGCGCTTCGTACAGAAAGGTAATTTGGTCGAACATTTGCGAATTCACACTAAAGTGAAGCCTTTCGCATGTAAATTGTGCGGCAAGAGATTTGCGCAATCGAGTCACCTTAAAAGTCACGAAGCCTCCCACGGTACATTGAGGCAACATCAATGCCGATTATGTGGTAAGAGATTCAAGCTGGCCAATCATTTGAAACGGCATTTAAATTTACACACCGGTACAAAGACTTATAAGTGCAATCAGTGTAACCAAATGTTTTCGCAATCTTTTAGTCTAACGAGACACTTAAAGAAACATAATGAATCGCATATATAATTTATATTATAATAAATTGTAATTTATGTACATGTAGATATGTGAATAACTATTGTGAATACATGTTTTATAATTATAAGAACTTTTTTGCGTGTGATTAATAATTAGCTGTTACTTTTATTCTCTTACAATCTTCTTGCTTATTCTCTTACAATCTACATGCTTTCTCAAGAAATCTAAAAGAGAATTCTAAAAAAAATTTACTGAGATTTTAAACACTTTTTTTGGAATAATTCGAGTAATACAATAACAGGTAATTCATTTTATCGTAAAAATTATTAATATTTATCATACAATCTTGATGTGTGTAAAATTTTAAATTCTTCATTTGTAATTTTTGAGAACCGTAATAAGAATGTTTATTCCTTCTCGTAATTGCTCTTCCGTGATCGTTAATGGGGGCGATATTCTGATGATTTGACCATGTGCGGGTCTCGACAACAACCCAGCGTCCCTCAGCTTTAGACAGATGTCCCAACCCTCTGCGAATTCTGTAAGTAAAGATCATGCCGAATACATAATAATAAACGTCAATATTGTCAATATCTTAAATAACGAAATGGTTTAAAAAATGTTTTTAGAAATGTTTAAAGAAATGTTAAATGTTTTTCGATATACAGTTCTTTTATCTCTTTATTATCAGTCGCGCACAATTATATTATGAGTAAATGGGAGATAAAGTTTGCGAGATATAATTTTAATTTTACATGTATCAATGAGTATTTTATCCTCATATCATGTAGTATGAGTTTTTATTTTCCAATGTTTTTATTTTGCAACCAATTATCAACGATATGAATAATTTTTTCCTTTTGATACCTTTGTTTATCATTAGACCGGCCAGAAGACCGCGTCCACGAAATTCTGTCACGATGTTTTTCGGCAATTTATCCAATTCTTTCTTCAGAATATTTCCGAGTCTCTTCGCGTTCTCCGCAAGATTCTCCTCCTCCAGAATTTTAACTGCCTCCAAAGCGACTCTGTTTCCAAGCGGACTCCCACCAAAAGTGCTTCCATGGGAACCTGTTTCCAGACAGAGCATTATCTGGAAAGAGACGATTAGTCTGAATTAAAATTTTTATCGTGTCAAATAGATGATTAATATCGATTTATTTCTTACGCAACGGCAGATATCTCGTTATCGTCTATGAATCTTCAACAATTTAACGTAAGAAATTTTTACAAATGATAACAGTTGTTAAAATATTTTATATTTTATAAAGTCGCGTATATTAAATTAAATATAATTGATATTGAATTATTTTAATAATTGCAATGAAATTTTTTCGAATACCTGATCATCCGCCAGGACACCGGAAACTGGATACATTCCGCCGGAGAGCGCTTTCCCCAAAATAAGAATATCCGGTCTATAGCCTTCGTGATCAATTGCCAAACGTGTACCAGTTCTGCAAAGACCAGTTTGCACTTCATCAGCAATCCAGAGAACATTATATTTTGTGCATAGTTCTCTTACACGTTTCAGATAACCATCCTAAACAGAAAGTAAAAAAAATATACATCATTGATGTAAAAAGATAATGATATCATCATTTCCTGTTGATATCTTCAGGAAAGAATATCAAGAGAAAGGAAGAATGTTTTGCGCAATTTAAATTCTAAAGTAAAAAAAAAGCGCTGTTTGTTTAATGCTCGCATAATATTTACGATGCTATGTATTTTCGTATTAACTCACAGACGGTACAATGACGCCAGCTTCTCCTTGAATGGGTTCCATCATGAACGCGCAGATATTGGGATTCTCTTGAAACTTTTGTTCCAGAGCAACCGGATCGTTATATGGCACCTTCTCAAAAAGAGGTACATAAGGACCAAAATCCGTATAACAATTTGGATCTGTTGAAGCCGATAAGGCCGCCAATGAACGTCCCCAAAAGTTTCCGTTGGCGAATATAATAGTAGCCTTGCCATTCGGCACTTTTTTGATTCTGTATCCCCAACGTCTGGCTAATTTTATGGCCGTGTCACCTCCTTCAACACCTACAATAAGAAAATAATGAATGCTCTTCTATCTTATACAATAAAGAAAACTTGTGCTTATCGAAGCAATATCAAAATCTTTTTCCAATAATTATTAAGATATCAAAATTAATTGTTTTTGAAATATTTTCTTTTTTTTTAAAGCGATTTTCTTTTTCCACACCTGTGTTCATAGGTAAAAATCGATCCCATCCAAGAAGTTTTGTTAAATATTCTCCCAATTCACCCTGAGGTTCTGAGTAGAAGGCTCTTGACGTATGCGACAGCTTTCCAGCCTGCTCTCTCATTACTTTCACCAGACGTGGATGACAATGACCCTGGTTGACAGTCGAAAATCCTGCCAGGAAATCAAGGTAGCGTTTTCCATCGGTATCCCACAGGTAGACTCCTTCTCCGCGAGAAAGAACAACCGGTAATGGTTTGAAGTGTATACCGCCGTATTTGTTGTCGCGATCGATCACTTGCTGGGAACTCAAAAATCTTCTCTTGTCTGATTCCCTTACGATGCTAAAAAATCTTTGTCTCACAGATTGCATAGCCATATTTTTCCCTCTCTGAAATGTAATTAAAATGTTGCAATACTGTGATATTGCTGAAATATTTTGTCGCATAAGCATTTACGAACCTTTTCTTTTTCTTTTTAATACGAGCAAGACTATAAGACGTCGGAAAATAGGCATCTGATTCCAGCAGTCTTGCTTTTATATCAAGGTGAAAGAAGATATGACAAAAGATACGGCGGATATGATTACTTATTTACTAAAATCGTGCTTGATTACAAACATTGCAACAGAGGGATTTATAATAAATACCCTTACAGACGGAATCATATCTGATAAAAAATACAAAGTAAAGGCGCCAGCATGCCTAAGTAAACGAATCACGATAAACAATACACATGCACATGCAAGATTGAATTTAATTTTTATATTAATAGAAAAGAAGCAAAAAATAATGATTGTGTTGCATTTGATTTGAATTAAAATTTTTTAATTAATGTAATTTTTAGATACTTTTTAAAATTTTATTAAGAAAATTTGACAATGATAGAATAATTTTACTTTAATAAGACTTTAAACAAGTTGAAATCTATTAAGACGTTTAATCTGAATAATTTTGCGATATAATCAATTAATCGAAATAAAACGTAATTACGAATTATCATTGAGGACTTATTAATTAATTACTTATTATTTGCAAACCATGCTTATATGTTTTTCAATACATGTTATCTCTCGCGTCGTTGTATTAGGAATACATTATTTGTGTAGAGAATATTATCGTACAAAGCTATTAATAACCTAAAAGGGAATAATTCATTTACTACGTTAAATACATATTTTTTTGTGAGATAATAATACGACTACATAAAGCGGTTCAGGTTTTGTTTATCAGAATAGAATCGTAAGCGATAATAATTGTATTTATTTAGAACAGCGTTCTACTATTTTGCAAAAAATATCCATATTTTATACGTCAATGCACTTATGACCGATTCAACTTCTTGCAGTATGTCACTTGATAAAATTGACCTGTTGACCCTAATGGAAAATTTCGCTGAAATTAGTCCACGTTTTAGAAAACTTCAGCGAAATTTCAGCATTTCAGAAAAATTTCAGGGATTTTTTGCTGAAAAATTCATTTTCAGAAAAATTTCAGAGAAATTTCAGTTCAGCGATTTTTTGCTGAAAAATTCACTTTCAGTGAAATTTCAGTAAATTTTTAGCAATTTCGCTGAAATGTTTCAAAATGTGGACTAATTTCAGCGAAATTTTTTCATCAAGGAAATGATGAATTATTATGATATGGATAATTGTTTTGATATGTAAATTATCTTTGTTGCATTATGAATTGTCGAGATAAAAGTCATAATAGACATTGACCTTAAAATTATGTAGAATATATATATTAGATAAATTAAGAAAATGATATAAATATAGGGTATCAACAAATATTTTATTACTTAATTATCATTTTTATTAGAAAGATATAATGTAATAGCATTTTAAATATTAAAGGATTCGTTACGTATACGTGAGAATAGTCTTAGAAATGATATCTATGCACTCGCGTATTTGTTCCTCCGTGATAACTAACGGTGGTGCTAAACGAATGATGTGTCCGTGCGTAGGTTTCGCTAAGAGTCCATTTTCCTTCAGCTTCATGCAAATATCCCATGCATCAATCTTTTCATTGATGACGATAGCGTTCAAGAGGCCCTTTCCTCTCACTAAAGTAATTATCTCCTTCGGCAGCTTGTTAAGCTCGTCTCTGAATAAGTGACCGACCTTCTCTGCATTTTCGGCAAGTTTCTCTTCTTCTAGAACACGAAGTGCTTCGAGAGCAATTTTGCATCCCAAAGGATTACCACCATAAGTAGACCCGTGCTCTCCAGGTTTGATTGTGAGCATAATGGGATCATTCGCTAGTATACCGGAAACAGGATAAAATCCTCCGGACAATGCTTTACCGAGCATCAGGATATCCGGCTTCACGTTTTCATGATCTACTGCAATCCGCTTCCCCGTTCTCGCCAAGCCGGTTTGCACTTCATCCGCAATCCATAGGACATTGTTTTTTGTGCAAAGTTCTCGAATTCCTTTCAGATATCCATTCTTTTCAAAATACAACGACAATTTTAAGGATAAGATTCGGAGGTGGCTTATTTCTTTTTAAATTTTCACACGTAAAAGCTTACCTTAGGAACCACTACACCAGCTTCACCTTGGATAGGCTCCACCATGAAAGCGCAGACGTTTGGATCGACGAGAGCTCGTTCAAGTGCCGGTAAATCGTCGTAAGGTATGATCTCAAAACCTGGCATAAATGGTCCAAAATCGTTGTAGCTGCTAGGATCAGTACTCGAGGAAATAGCGCTCATAGTTCTTCCCCAGAAATTGCCTTCCGCAAACACTATCTTGGCCTGATTCTGCGGTATATCCTTGCATGAGTATCCCCATTTGCGTGCCAATTTGCATGCCGTTTCGCCACTTTCCACGCCCGTGTTCATCGGCAACCATTTGTCATAGCTGAAGGAATGAATTTTTTTAATGTGAATGAATTCGATATATCTAAGTATAAATCTAAGTATAAAAAGCATTATGAAATTGTTTCTTGTTTAAAGATATACCTGATTCATCAATTATGATATGAACAAAACATTAAATAAGTCATTATTTAATGTTATCATTATTAATTATATTATATTAGATGTAATAAAAAGAAATCCATTATTTTTCCATTCAATTTCATGCAAAAATAATGGATTTCTTTTTACTACACCTAATATTATTATTATTATAATTATTATCATATTTATTATATTATTAATTATTATCATTATTTATTATTATATTATTTATTATTTATTTTTTTTATTTCTGCTTTTAAGATCCAATTTTCTGGTATGTTGAATATTAATTGTATGTTGAAAATTAATTAGATTTTTTAAAATTAATAATATAATATTTAGGCCTCTTAGAGAGAGTACAGCGCGATACTTGATACACAATTATTTTATATTATTTTAATTATATTAATTTAATGAAAAACGTTACAGTTTTTTCGGACATTTTGACCACATTTTAGGTCAAAAGCGATAGAAATGTAAATAATAAAGAAGCACATCTTATGCTTAAATGGTGATGCCTGGTATTCTATATATAACTTCGCAGCAATGAATTCATTAAATTGCGAAATTGGTTAAATTGATCTGGCCTTCAATTGTCATTGAAACAATTGTTTCTCTGACGTTTGTGCGATTTGTTCCAATTTTATATTTCTGATTTTTTTCAATTTTCGATTTTCATACACGACTGCGGATTTTATTAATTATATTGGAATTTAAGCTGGTCTTAAACGCTTATGGTAATCGAAGGCCAGATTAATTTAACCAATTTCACAATTTAACGAATTTAAGCTGCGAAGTGATGTAGAATACTTGACCAGAGATCTTTGTTTAAGCGTAAGACGAGCTTCTTTATTATCTATATCTCGCTGAGATATGTAGATCTGAAATATGATCAAAACATCCGAAGAAACTATAATTTGATAAATTAAAATAATTAATATAAAATAATAAAATCGCGCCGTATATACTCTCAATGTTTTGTTGTTAATTTTAATATCAAGACTCCAAAATAATTTATATTATTTAGATTTTCGAAATAACATACCGTATATATAAACTTATCTTTCACTTTCACTTGTCTCTTATATACTTAGATTTTAGGTCTCGTTATATCATTGTTTATCTTATCGATATTTGTTTAGGAATCGAAATCATACTTTGTACCTGAAAAGTTTCGTAATATATTCTTCGAATTCACCTAAAAGATCTGAATAAAATGCTCTGGATGTCAGAGTTAAAGTCTTCGCCTGGTCAATCATCGCTTTGTAGATTCTGGGATGACAATGACCTTGATTAACTGCCGAATAAGCGCTTAGAAAATCAAAGTATCGTTTCCCCTCGATGTCCCACATAAAGACACCCTGACCTTTGCACAGAGCCACGGGAAGTGGATGATAATTGTGAGCACCATATTTAGATTCACGATCAAACACTTGTTGAGATGTAAGTGTTCTGTGGCATTGAATATGCTAAAAAAGAAGAAACATTTAAGTTAATTCTGACAATATTTAAATTACTTTTAAGTATTTCTTTTCAAGTATTTCAATAATAAGAATAATAAGAAAGTAATTAAATACAAATAAATTGAATACAGATTGTTTTAAAAACATATAATTTAATATAACAATCTAATTTATGTATACAATGATAAAATTATGGTAAAATCACAAAGTTAATACTAATTAATTATATTACCTGAGACTGAGGCAATAATAACGTTTTTGATGATCTTTTGATATTTTGCAGTACCACTCTCATTAATGATTTCATCGCGTAAATTACTTCCTTGTTAAACTCTCACTTACTACACGTATTTTCACTTCCGTCGTTACCACGCAGAGATACAATTGATGTTCAAGTGCCTTTAATTTTCAGTAAAATACACTGATTAAAGTAATTGTATAAAATCTTTATTTTGGAAGATCTAAAGAAGAGCCCCGTATAAGTAGAGTTATCGAAAATTGTAAATTGCAAAAAAAAATTTAACAACAAACGAAAGAGAATTTTTCAAAAAGACACTTTTATTTTAAAAAATTACTCATAATCATATCTAAAATAGAGATAAAAATAAAAGAATTAAAAGAATGAATAGTTGAAGATATATATTTCAATAAAAAAATATGTCAATAGATTCCCGTATAAGTATATTTATCTCGACAAATTCTGAATCTTAAATTGCACAATTTTTTGAAAAAACACGATCAGTATCGCTTCTTTATGTAAACTGATGACGTTAGGTAGGGGAAAGGATATGTTGAACATCAACTTTTTTCCCCTCCCATATCTAGTCCCCTCACTTCCCGGTTTCTACAAATGCACGGTTTTCATACGGTTCTAAGTATGTCATATCTCAATACAGTAAATGAAGATTAATATTAGAACTTTTTGGACTGTGAGCTAAGTAGTCCACTTTAAATTGAATATATACAACTTCTTCGCAACAGCTGTTATTCTGCCAATTGATAATGAAGTGAAAGTTTGTGCCACAGCTGTCTTATTCGAATTATTAATTTCGTTATTTATTTGATATTCGCGTACAAAATTGTATATAGTTATCAGTAATCATTTCTTTTTCTATTGATTAATATTAAAAAACGTGTCAGTACATGTATGATAATTATTTGAAGAAAAAATAATATTTTCTTCATTTATCGGAAAAAAAATGTTTCGGAAATGCGCACATATTTTTAGTAAAGATTTTTATTTGAGAGTACTAAATTTTAGGAATACTCTGAAATTTTAACTAAAAAGGTTACAAAATGACGTTATAATTTTTTATATTACATTTTTTTTACGTGTACATCTTCAAGATTTTTTTTTGTGTAATGTATTATTATTTGTTTCGAAATGTTATTATTATTAAAACATTCAATAATAATGTTCAAAGTATAGTCTATATTTTTTATTCATATATGGATGGATAGTTTTAGAATGGCAACATCAATTTGCATCAATTGACTAATTTGATGACTCAGTATGAGTGACCATGGAACTTTGCAAAGATGTGACAATGAAGAATTAAAATTAATTTACGTACCTATGTAATTGTGTTATATACATTATGTAAATATTACACGTCATTTTACAATATCTTTTAAATTTTAATATATCAAACTATTTATTTATCTATTTTTTCATAAAACTTTAATTAAATCATTTTTTTTTTAAATGTCTGATTAATATTTATATCGTTAAAATAATAGCAAAGGCTTAAAAAAATAAATTCTACTATATTCTTACAGAGATTGTAATTGAGTCAGTATATTCTCAGCAGTCACTGATCAAATCAATCACAAGCGAACTTATCTCGACGACTAGTCAGTCAGACTGACAAACAATTAAATTCTGTGCCTAATTCAAGTTTTATTTATCTCAATCGAACGAGTCGAAGGATATGTCAATACATGCCTCTCGCTCACATACATAATTTTCCACTGTCTCAGCTGTTTTGGCACGTATTATTGATAACAGTCTCATATCTGAAAAATTAAACGGTCCGATAAAAAAACTTGACGAACATACGTAGGCAGAAAAGATGAATAATTTTTATAATTTACAATATATTTCATCTATCACACTATTAATGATTTTTTTATTTAAAAATTGAGTTATCATTTGTTTAGAACATTTCCAAATATTATATTTTTCAAGAATTGGAACTACAAACAAAAAGATACATTTTTTAAATTGAAGATTTAATTTATTACAATTTCAGAACCAATTTCATAGATAATATCCAAATAAAATTATGAAATATACATGTGATGATAAAAATCAGCTTCTGTTTTATATAAATTTAAATGTAAGGCAAGTTTAAGAAAATTAGGAACAAATTTCATTTTATCGATAATAACTTCATCACACAATATCTAATGTTTTTATGTATAAAACATTAATTGTGCTTTGTGAAATACATGTCAACTTGTTGAGTTGTTCCACTTTGTTGTATTGATTCAATTGCTTTATTAACTATCACTTCTGATGCTTCTTCTGTTATCTAGAACAAAATGTAAAAATCTGAAAGATATGCCCATCACATTATTGCATTATAATTTAATTAGTAGTCTTACATTATTGATAGTATCTAATACATGATCTATGCTTTCGCATCTCAATAATAGTCGCCTCAAAGTAGTTAACGTAACGACGGCAACGAATATTAAAATTCGATATGCACCAACTGTTATTTTATCCCATATCCTATAACAAATAATTAAGTATTCTATTAATTCTAAAAAGATATGTTCTTAGCAGTAAAAAGTATTAATAAATATTAATAAAATTACAATGCAATTTCAATTTTTATATAATATAAACGTACATACTTAGCAATAGATCCATTGCATATTATGCCAGCAAAACACGAATAAAACCAAATATCATATGGAAGATTATAAAGTGCATCAATTTTAACAAGATGCTTATATAATTCTACATCTTCTTTCTCCAGTAATGCATATGTACAATCTTGCAATTTTCCTACTTCTTTCTGTAGCTTCTCAACTTGTACAAAAAGTCCCGACAATATCCAATACATATCTACTAATTTCTCTTCTTCTGATTCAATATCAATCACATACCACAGTGTCTCGGCCATTTTGCTCATAGCTCTGGAATAGAGATAAAAGTTTATTATAATATTTTTTGAGCTCATACAAAATAAGTACAAAATGAATCTATGAAGTTATGCAGCCGAGACATCCTTCCAAATCAAGACAGAACATTTTTAAGACAAATTAGACAAAAATAGATTTCAATTAGAATTTATAAAATGAAAATGTTCAATTTAAAAGTTTGAAATACCTAATATTGAATACTGTAATGTGAACCTGTATAACGGTGATTCCAATTGAGCAGCCATATCAACTTTTGCTCTTCTTTTGCGTAACAACCACATTGCTAAAAATATTAGATGAGGTTTCGTAAAGTCGTCTATAATCTTTGCGACTCTCAGTGCTCTCTGCAAATCCTGAAATTCCGCCTTGCGCTGAGTCATTATAAATCCCTGACTCTCCGAATAAACTGGTATAACATCGAGTAAGACCTTCCATAAGAAATTTCTATACATAGCAGGTACAGTGAATCTTAAACAAAACTGCTTTAGCTTTGTCTTGTCAAGCGGGCGCTCCTTTAACAATATCTCCAGAGATTTCTTTTCTTCGACACTGCGAAAACCAACCTGCCATTTAAAAGCAATGATATATTTCAATCATATGACAATCTGATAGAAAACTCTTCTACAGTATATAAATTGTTGCTTCGATTTAAAGAGCAAGTGGATTTTGGAGCGTCACCTTTTCATAATATTGCGAACGAAAATTTCGCTCATCCGTCATCCTTCTAGTCTCGTCGAAGTAGAAATAGATAGAAGAGAATTTAATTAAAATTAAACGAGATAATCAGGTGAAACACACTTTCACAGCAACATCTATATTTACGTTTCTGTACCTGTCATGTAGACGTAACACAACAATATCACATATGTTTGTGTAATGCATATAACCTAGAAACTCTGTCGCATATAATACTGTGCTCGTATAAGCTTTTGTTAGTTTTATCATGAATAAAGTTTGAATTTATTGCGTTCGCTGAGATTGAGAAGATTCACGTTTTCTTTTTATACATGATACATACATATAATTACTTATTCATTGTCGACAGGCC